CTATTAAATACTTACAAAGTCATTTTATTAAACGCTAGAACTAGTAAAATTAATTGATTAAATGCATATTAAATAGTTGAAAAAAAAATAAAAATCATTGTTTTAAAAGTTGTATTAATTAATGTTTTAAAAATCATCAAATTAATATTTCCCATATCAAAAATAAAAATTCTACAAATTATTGTTGATATCGGAAACCTTGTATAATATGATAAAGATTTATAACTATAAAAGTGAAATAAATCATCATTATCAAAGTTTATAGTGCCACTATATTAAAGTTATGAAGTTGAGAAGCATATTTATTCGTTTGGCTATCAAAGAAATCAAAAGTGCATGCATACACATGCCTTAACAACCTCTTCATCACTAAATATGCATGAAAGTAATTATTTACAACACAATAATAATATTCACTTAAATGTGAAGGGATTATATACATGATAACTTACTATTTAAATGAATAACTATAGTTAAATTTTTTAAAATATTATTTGAGATATTGGAGAAAATTATAATCCACATATTTATTATAAAAATAGTCACTAACTTCAAATTAGCTTGGTTAGTTAGATTGTCCTATAAATAGTACTATATTTTGTTTATTAAATTAAGAATATTAGGACACTAGTCCATATGAAGATTCTTCAACGTCCATTCATAAAGGTTGTCAATTATTTACTGTTAAACTTTTGCATATGAATACTCGAAATAATTCTCCCATTGCTTGTTTGTAGCCTCAACAATCCACCTATATATTATGAATTTAGTAATAGATATATTTTGTTAAATAAATTTGAGTTTATCAATCTGTTTTAAGATTCATTAAATTGCAATATTTTGACTTCATACGATGACAATGAATTAAGCAATTAAAATTCATTAGACTCAAATAAAAAAAATGTGAAAGTTTGTTTTCTGCAAAATCTATTTCAGTAAGATGTAAAAAATCGACCACGCGAGGCATAGCATTCACCGCACTGAGGCATAGCATTCAATGAGCTAGGGTGACCCATTTTCCCTTATCAACCCCCGAAAAACTCCTAGTACATGCCTAGACCATTTGTACAAAAAAACTTTTACGTGTACTTATCAGTCGGTGAATTGATTGACAGTATTTGAAATAACCATAGTTTGATATTCAATCCAAGATTCCATAAGAGCACAAAGTGTAACTGAGAACCTCTTCCAATTTTTAAAACAGTTGGTCTAGAAAGCAGCACCCAAAGAATGTAGTCATGTTAGCTGGAAATGGTGTCAAACTAAAATAGAAAAATGTGAGAATGCTTTCCTTTAATACTGGTTACTGTTAGGAATTGTTTATTAGTTGAATATGTATAATTTTTCAAGATATATATAATCGGTGTCAAACTAGTGCGCGTAAAATAGAAAAATGTGAGAATGCTTTCCTTTATAATACTGGTTACTGTTGGCAATTGTTTTATTAGTTGAATATTCGTATAATTTTCAGATATATATATATATATATTATAATATTATAATATATATATATTATATCTATATATATATGATATTATATAATATATATATATATTATATATAATCCCTAGAGTAATTGCATATATTTTTATTGGTGTAATATTATAAATTTAATTATTAGTATTACTTTATAACAAATTGAGCACCATACCCTAGAGTAATTGCATATATTTTTATTGTGTAATATTATAAATTAATTATTAGTAATTACTATTATAACAAATTACACATCCTTTTTTACCAAAATTACTATTATTATACATATATTTTTATTAGCAATCTCACTCTCATAAAATTACTTCTAAAATCATTACATCCTCCCGTAAGGATTTAAATGTGACAACTATATAAATAGTCTTATTATCTTTAATTATTAAGGATTTAAATGTGTGACAATTTTGTATTTATATATTTATTTTTATTAATTATAGTGGCAAGGAGGAGAATAGCTTTGTATATTACTCAGGATACTATCAATTGTGTAATTAGGATGGTAAGTAAAAGAATATTTGAACGTAATTCCATTAAATTTATGGTCATAAAAACTCACCTTAGTATAATTTAATTAAATTAATTGTATTATTGGCTCCATGCAGCACCATCAAATTAATTAACTTTAAATAATAAAATAAATCACAATCTGAAATACTATAACCAGAATAAAATAAATTATCTAAATAATGAAAAATAAATTAATTAATATTAAATCCCACATCCAATAATACCTTCCTATCCATCTCCACCAAATAAGAAAAAACAATAGCAGTTGAGAAACGCAAACTGAAAAAACCGAAAGCAATTAAAGCCATAACCCCCAAAGCTAAACAAGGCCTTGTGTTCATCAATTACGATTGCACAAACTGCATTATTTCACGTATTAAAGAATCATAACTCAGTAAAATATTGCTTTTTCCATTCCATGATCCAATGCGAAGGCGACTCATAATTAACTTATTTCAATCAATAAAAAAGAGGTTATCAGACGAGCAACTGTTAGCATTTTTTTTTTCTTTTTTTTTTTAGAATAAAATGGTAAACTTTTATAGAATAGGGGAAGCCAAGTCTTCCAAAACAAAAGAGTTAATAGAGGATGGAACTTCCTCTATAAGATTCAGCTACTCAACATTACTAGAGAGCGCTTCTTGAGCCATTGCATGAGCAACCTTATTACAAGTTCTAAAAGAATGCTGACAACTATAAGAAACAAAAGATTCAGTAAGTAACTTCATATTAAGCAAGCGGGTTCCAAACTCAGAAGAAGGGATGCTGTGACTGTTGATATGCTGGACGAGTGTGAGGCAATCGGATTCAAGGATGACTTTACTGAAGCTCAGATCAATTGCTCTTCGTAAAGCAAACGCTGCTGCCTCCACATCAGCCTCCTCTGGGAAAGAGACAACTGAACTCATTTATGACTAGCTGCCATGACCGCCCCACAAGAGTCGCGAACCACCATTCCAAAACCAATTCGTCCTGCGATTCTTACTGCAGCATCAGAGTTAATCTTTAAGAATTCAGGAGGAGGGGTTGCTATCTGCGACAACTGGCCATGCTAGCGAGCTGAGTTATGCGTAGTTCTTTAGAGCTCTGATAATCAAATAACAAAGACAGCGCCTGCTCCATAATTTGAGGTGCGGAAAGGACTGAATTCTGGAAAATAGCTACATTTCGCGCTCCCCAAATCAACCAAGACACTAACATTGGAAACTCAATTTGAGGCGGTTCAAAATTTAAAGTTGGCTCAAGGCTCAATATTATCTTGAGATTTTGGTGATTATGCAAAACAAATAAATTCAATATTTTTATATGTGCTAAAGTTGTTTTATGCAGATTTTTAATATGAAAGTTACTAAAGAAATCAAGCTCCTACAATCCAAGAGTTTTTTTTAAGACCATAAAGATTATTGAAGATATTTTAATGGTTAGTATCTTAGTAAATATTGTAGGATAAAGAAAATATTTCTTTATAAGCACAAAAATATTTTTCTCTCTCCTAAAATCATTTTTAAGATATTTTCGAAAATTGCCTTAAAAATAAAAGTCAAATATTTGCTTTTTTAATTTCACTTACCTAAATGAAAAAGATTTTGGCTTAATTATTTTTAGCAACAAATAATCGAGTATTTGCAAAAGATTCACATATGTTTTTATTTTCGAAAGTCAAAGATATTCTTTAAAGTAAAGGATCAATGTCTTTTATGATGAGATTTTTATTCCTCTTCTAAAAACGTTGCTTCTTCTTTTGAGAATGTGGTTTTTGCAAGAATAAGAGTTCATTGATTAAAAGTTTTAAATCTTTCAAAACTCTCTCTATTAAATAAACTTTAATATAGCTTAGATGTTATTGTTCATAGAATTTGTTTAATAAGAATACACAATAAGCGAAAGAGTACTTTGATCTATAGCTATTGATTACCTCGTTGCGGCAATTCGATTATCACCGTAACAGTAAATATATGTTTCTTCACTCTGGCCTTTTGTCAGTGAATTCTCTCTTAATGGTCAGAGAATTATCAACAGCAACGTGAGTTTTCTTTTCACGTTCTGTCAAACAAACCTATCACCGCTATGTGTTTGAGGTAGCCGTCACACTCTCTTAACCTACGCTGTTGATTTTCTTTATTTTTAATAAGGTAGAGGAAGGGTACTAAAACCTTAATTGGTCATCAATCCATTAAGCCCAATAACCATCATCTTGGGCCACCTTAATTAAAACCAGTCCTTTAATTACATGGGCCACTTAGATTAAAATAATTTAACAATCTTCCACTTGGCCCATGTGCATTTCTTGAATCTATCATGTTAACCTTAATTAGAATTAAAGTGATCGAATTATGCCAGTCACAAGTCATTAATCGACATGATTCCTTCCATACAATCGTAGTCGAATGTTTGACCTAATTAGATTAAAGTGGAATCGGCAAGATTATGCCAAGTCGACGAAAGTCATTAATCGACATGATTCCTTCCAGTACATCACTAGATCATCTTAATCAGGGTACTAACGTTGTAATCGAGAAACGATTCAACAGTAACAATGTATTATTTACAATCAGATTTATTCTGATCTCGACCTCAAACGCATTATTGTATAGGCATCTAGTAGAGTCGATAACATATAAAACGAAGAGCAAAAAACACGTGCTTTAAGTAGAATGCTGCCCAGTGTCACAATAATATGACAAATAGACCATATGTATGTATGTATGTGATATTATATGATATATATATATAGTATATATGATATAAAGTATAATATATATAGTATATATATGATATATATATATATTATATATTATATAATTACAAGTTTGAACACTCATGCTAATAAGTTGACTTTTATCTATAATGCCCATGCCCCTATCAAAACATGGCCAGATGAAGTATGTCTGGGCAGTAACTTTAGTTAGGCGGATTTGCTATCATACTAGATTAGTACCGTCGATATGCTCAATTGACACCTTGTGTTTTTGCACTTCTTCTTTCACCAGATAGGTACTTTAAATCCATGTGCTTTGTACCCTTAATAGGTACTTTAAATCCATGTGCTTTGTACCCTTAGAATACCTATCGTTCTTAGAGAAGAAAACAGCTGCGGAATTATCATAGTAAATTCTCAATGGTCTAGTTATACTGTCGACAATGCCTAGACTTGAGACAAAGTTGCGCAACCACAATGCGTGAACAGTGGCCTCAAAGCATGCCACAAATTTAACCTCCACTGTGGAAGTAGCAATGACTGACTGCTTTCCACTTTTCCATGAAACTGCTCCTAAAGCTAGGAGAAACAAGTAGCCAAATGTAGATTTTCTTGAATCTTCACAACCGGCATAGTCTGAATCCGAGTATCCCACCACTTCTAGATGGCTGGATTTTCTATAGGTGAGTATATGATCCTTGGTGCCTTTTAAATACTTAAGTACTTTCTTTGCAGCTTTCCAATGGTTTATCTCGGGATTACTTTGATATCGCCCTAACATTCTAACGACAAAACTAATATCTGGTCGAGTACATGTTTGAACATACATTAAGTTTGACTACTGACACATAGGGAATAAACTCCATCTCTTTATGTTCCAAATCGTTCTTAGGACATTGCATTTCGTTAAACCTATCTCCTTTTTGAATTGGAACTATTCCTGTAGAACATTTTTCCATTATGAATCTCTCTAATACCTTGTCAATGTAAGCTTTTTGAGACAATCCTAATAATCCTTGTGATATATTACAGAATATTTCTATTCCTATCACATAGGATGCCTCACCCATATCTTTCATTTCAAAGTTCTTAGAGAGAAAACCCTTTACATCATGTAATAATCCAACATCATTCACAGTAAGAAGAATGTCATCAACATATAGGACTAAAATAATGAACTTGCTCCCACTGACCTTCATATAAATACACCGATCAATAGTGTTTTCTATAAATTCATATGAAGTGATGGTATTATTGAACTTAAGATACCATTAACGGGAAGTTTCTTCAGTCCATATATTGATTTCTTCAACATACACACCATATTCCTTTCCTGTGATCTCAAATCCCTTTGGTTGGTCCATATATACTTCCTCCTCTAAGTCACCATTAAGAAAGGTGGTCTTCACATCCATTTGGTGAAGCTCTAGATCATAATGAGCCACCAAAGTCAAAATTTGGTGAAGCTCTAGATCATAATGAGCCACCAAAGTCAAAATAATTCTTAAATAGTCCTTTTGGAAAACTGGAGGAAAGGTCTCTTTATGGTCAGTGCCATCCTTCTGAGTGTAACCTTTAGCAACAAGTCGTGCCTTATATCTTTCAATATTGCCTTTAGAGTCTCGTTTGGTCTTGAAGACCCATTTACAACCAACTTGTTTAGAACACTGAGGCAACTCAATTAAGTCCCAGACTTGATTATCACTCATTGATTGCATTTCTTCTTTCATGGCATTAAACCACTTTTGAGAATTATCACATTCCATGGCTTTTCGGAAAGAGACTGGATCCTTATCAATGCTCAATTCACATCCATGCTCATGTGAGTAAACCACATAATCACTAGAAATAGCTGGCCTTCTTTGCCTTTGTGACCTTCGTAATGCTATTTCTTGTGAAGCCACTTGCTCATTTATGACTTGTTCATTATTTACTGGTTCATCATTTATATGGTCATTTTATGGATTTGGAATGTTGTTTTGTTGTTCGACCATTTTGCTAAACCATGATACAATAAGAGGAATAACAACTGAAGAAGAGACATTAGGAGAATCCACTTGAGTAACTGAAGAAGAGACATTAGGAGAATCCACTTGAGTTGGATTTCTAATCTGAATCTCTTACTGTTGACGCGTGTCTTTATGCCCCCACCTAACCCAATGAGGATACGAGGATACGGAATGAAGGATTATTGCTATCTAGAAGTCTTTTAATCCAAGGATTAAATTAAACCAATTTAAATGTGTCTGGATTGCATAAGAGTTGCGTCACGTAGCTATCAGGTGTGTGACGGCACTATCGGCTGCGTCACGCAGCTCCAATCAAGATGACGTCACCGTCAGTGTCGACATAACGGCTTTTCATTCTGTTTGAGTACGTGTAACTGTCTAGAAAGTGAGTTGCGTCACGCATCTATTGGATCCGTCACGCAACTATGCTCTGTTGCCCTATTTCTATAAATTCATCATTTTATCTCTTATTCGGGACTAGAATTTTAGGGCATCAAAAAACACACTAGCGGCGAAGTTTTTCTCCAGAGACTTTTCTGAGTTCCCTTGAAGAAAAACAACCATTAGACGTTAATTAGGTTAAAACGAAAATCATAAAAAGAAAAAAAAAGCAAGAGAGAAAAGGGTGAGTGTTTAAATCCTTGTGGACAGAGCTTCTGGAACCAATCAATCCTCATTCTTTAAGGTGTTTAAGCCGTTTATAATCCTCAGTCTGAGGGTTAGGTAATTATTCTAAACCTTTCTTTGTATTTTATTTATTGTTATTTATTTTGCTATTATTTTAGTAGTTTAATCTTAGTTAAACGGTAGTCTGTTCACTCTTGGTTATCTTTAGATCTTATTAAAGCATGTTTAAATAAAATAATGATTTAAATACATAATGTTTAAATTAAAATAATGATTTAAATTAAATGTTTTTGAAAAAGTTAAGTGTTTGAAAAGTAAGCACGGACTAGAGCAGCTGCGTCACGCAGCCAGTAGATCTGTAACGGACCTGGCAGTTGCGTGACGGAGCTGTTCACGTCCAAAATATCATTTCTTTACCCAGATTAGTTGCGTCACGCAGTTATCAGTTCCGTAACGGAACTGGAGGTCGCGTGACGGAACTGTTCACGTTCATGATTTTATTGTATTTTTTATATTCTATTTTTAATTGTGGATCTAAAACATATGGTTGATGAATCTAAAACATATGGTTGATGAATCTGGGATTTTCAGAACAGTTAGGTCACGCGACCATTAGTTCCGTCACGCAACTGTTCTTCCAAAGAACAGCTGCATGACGCGACTGTTCTAGGGTTCCAGAAACAATTTTTTGGTTCTCTCAAAAATTAACGAATTTGGTACAAAATAAAATTTAATTTTTCTAATAAATCTGAAGATGACCAATTGTGACCAGATTGCAATTTAATTAAGTTTATAATATTAAAATGTAATTATGCATGATTTTTGGGTTTTTGGGTTTAATGTTTTCAGGGTAGAATGTATCTTTTTAGGTTCGGTTTGTGGCCCGCCTTTAACCATAAGGCAAGAGCGGGTCTTTTATTTATTTTGGTTTGGATGGTTTGGATGACCTGGATGATTATGGATGCAGTAATATAATTTGATTGGGACGATTAATTGATTTTCCACATAGGAACTCGGTTCGATTTATTTGGGTTGGGTTTAAATAATAAATGAATAGGAACTCGGTTCGATTTATTTGGGTTGGGTTTAAATAAATGAATTGGCTTTTCTAACTAAAATGAATTAGAAATCGTAGGTTAAAAGAGGCCGGATCTTCCGGGCGTCGGCTTCTAACGGGCCGGCGTACCCAATTCCCTTACCCAGAATCACACTTGGTGCGCCTGACCAGTTTTCGAGATAATTTGGCCTTAAATAAAATGGGGTTTAAATAGAGTCATTTTTATAAAATAAAATTGGAAATGGTCCCATCGCTGAAAAAATGGGTGGCGACTCAAAATATTTTATAAGACCGATTTATCGGCACCACACCCAAAATGTTTTGTCACCATTTTTCAAAATAAAATACCACTTTTTCCCACCAAAAGATAAAAGGACACGTTTTTCGGGTTGCTCGGGGGCGGTACGAAAATAGATTGGCGACTTCACTAGGGAAAAACCACTAATCCCCGGTTATTTTTAATAACTAGTTGGTTGCAATTAGGAATTAACTCTAAACCTATGTTTTCTAAAATTGAAAATTGGTTAGAAAGCCGTCAGAAATTCTTTAATCGTCCGTGTTTGTTTATTGCTTTCCTTTTTTCTTTTCTAAGATTTTTGCATTCATACTGCATTCTCTCTTCTCACCACTTTCTACTCGCATTATCCTTTGGTATCATTGTTAATATCGGAGGTGGATCCAGCCTAAACCTCGCGTTTTAGGCACATCCACCCGAGAGTTTGCAATTTTACCAACCGCAAGCCTAGTACCTTAAAACGGTGAGTCAAAAGGAGTAGGCCCATGCAAAAGCCCGAATCCTGTTTGCGGAACCCAGACTTTGTAAAGCCCAATGGACTGAAGCCAATGCATGTAGTTGAAAGCCTTAGTCACTTCCCCTAAGGAAAACCTGATTCTATTTGCTGTTGTTTGCCGCATTCATTTCCGAGAGTCTATATCGTCAATCTCAAAACCCCCCGTTGGTTGTTGAGATTAGACCAAATCCTAGGAAACAGATGTCGGAATTTTCACCACGGAACTCGTGTGTGGAAAAGATAAGGTTGGAAGGCATGCATTCCCCAACTCTCGTTCCCCTATGTGTTATAAACTGTTCATATGTGTGAACCCCTCCCCCAAAAATAGGCATATAATGAATATGACTAAGGGCAGAAATGCACGTGAATATGTGAGTCGCCACCTTGTTTAATTATTGTGACGTTCGCCACCTGTTTAATTATTTTAGGGTAAGATAGGGATAGGAAAAAAACCCTAAGTTGACTCCAATTTTAATTAACCTAATTACTAGATTAATTATCCCAATGCTTAAGGCATAGTTTGCGAACCTGAGGTGGATCCTGAGACCATGTCAGGTTGATGAACTAACCAATGAAATGAATGCTTTGCAGGGTAAATGATGTAATTGGACCGATGAAATGTTTAAGTGATTTCGACTTGCCGCTTGGGATTAAACCCCAAACGTGCCAACGTACTTCCGTTTAAATGGAAGATCAAAGTCGACGTAGTTCGATAGGCCTTTTTTAAAGGGCTCTGAATGGGTATGCTTAATGCATGAGTGTGTGTGTGTATGCTTCGTTGCATTTTTGTTAGGCATTTTCCAAAGAATGATTTGATTTGATTAGGCGTTTGTTTGCTAAGAATTGTTTGATTTTAAAAAAGGCTTTTAGCCAAAAAGATTGATCTTAGGGAATTTTTGCCAAAAGTTGATGTTTTTCTGGGGGGGATTTAGGGGGGGGGCGGGCCCAAAAATTTTTTGTTTTTTTTGGCCCAAACAGTGATTATTTGAAGGTTTTTTAGCCAAAATGGGTTGATTTAGGCAATTTGTTTGCCAAAAGTGTTGATTGGACGATTGTCGCCAAAATTTAATTGATTGGGCAAATTTATTGCCAAAAATTTTTGATACTTTGGGCTTTTTGTCGCTAAAATGGTTGATTTGGCCACAATTTTATTGCCAAAAATTTATGTTTTGGGGCTTTTTGTTGCCAAAATGGTTGATTTTAGGCCAATTTAATGGTTGATTTAGGCAATTTGTTTGCCAAGAGTGTTGATTAGGCGATTGTCGCCAAAATGATTAATTTAAGGCTTTTAGCCAAA